GGGGTGGGGTTTAATGTTTACCATATTAAAAAAGGTAGGCAGCCTTTTTACTTTTTACTACACTACTAAAGCTGAGAAGCCAAAATTAAAATAAGACTAAGAGTAATAGGTGTATGGAGCTCAAAGAGGTTTTAGTGATGGATGGAAAAAAAGGTCATGCTTATGTATGAGAGGAATTTCCAGTGACTAGATAAGGTTGATAATAGGCTGGATTCTAGACAATTTTTGGTTCTCTAGGATTCGGCCACTATGCACATTTTTATTTACTGAAATCTGTTGTTGGTTTTGATGAGACAAGAGGGGTTGCTCTGATGGTAAGCAACCCCCACTTCCAACCGAGAGGTTGTGAGTTCGAGTCTCCCCAAGAGCAAGGTGGGAAGTTCTTGGAGGGAAGGATGCCGGGGGTCTATTTGGAAACAGCCTCTCTACCCAAGGGTAGGGGTAAGGTCTGCGTACACATTACCCTCCCCAGACCCCACTAAGTGGGATTATACTGGGTTGTTGTTGTTGTTGTTGTTGTTGTTGGTTTTGATGAAGAGGGCATCTCAGAAACTTGAGGGTATAGGACTTATTTCAGGCAAAGAGGTGCTAAATCAACTAGCTTGCGCATTCCATTTTTATCAAACAGGTTACAGATCCTCAAGTCAGACAGAAGACATCAAATGCTCCACTTTTGCCAACAAAAAAAAAAGGATTACAATGCGAAATCGAGCTGCAAATATGTATAGGATTGGATTTTTTCATTAGCGAGGTCTAAACCACTTATTTTCACTACCTTCCTTTGGGCCTTCTGTGAGAATTCATTTTCTGGAAAAGAAAAGAGAGCTCAATAAGGATATAGTTTTCAGGGCGAAAAGACACTAATAGATTATATGCTAAAGTCAATCTGGATTGACCTAATAGGCTAATATTTGGAATACCGGAGAAGCAAAACACCATATGTTTCACCTGTGTGGTAAGATTATTCTTTGATCAGATCTGAATTTCAAGGTCTAGGCAAGTCTTACTTACAGTTATCTCTAAGAAAAGGTCAAGGCAAAAAAAGAAAAAGGAAAAGGTCTACGCAAGTTTTACACCATCCGCTCTTGCACTTGGAAACTTCACCTGAGTCCATGTTGACTCATACTGGAAGACAAACCTGCAATAGTGCCATGTATGAATGTTATTGTAACTTTACTGTGGTTTGATCCTCAATTCTTGCCATGATTTCTAAGACATTATAGAGATCTGTGTTTAATCTAGTCTTATATCCATTTCATTTTTCACCTTATGAGAGGGATGTTGCCTATGTTTCCTTTCCAGTATTTTCCTTCAACTATGTTGTGCAGCACACTTGCACATGTTTTGTGGCCGTTTAGCGTGAACTTCCTCAATCAGATGATGTGCAATTACAATCGTCTGCATCATGTTTAATAGTTTTTGTATAAAAAGTAATACTGTGGCTCTTGCCATGCTTACTGCTTATCTTGTTTTGTTTGGTTCTTTCCCTCTATGTTATCAGCAATATCATAGAGTCAAAAATAGTCGACAACTTGTTTTATGCCCCTCAGAAGTTTCTGATATGAGGTTGCTTTGTTACATATATTTTTTTCTGTTGCAGGTTGAATCAGTAGATAGTTTTCTACAATCATTGGGTCTTGAGAAGTATACAGTTACATTTCAAGCTGAAGAAGTATGTAGTTTTTCCGCTCCTACTGTCATTTTCAGTTTACTTATAAGATCTGCAGAATATCACCTATTGCCTTACTACTATTCTTGTAGGTTGATATGGCTGCTCTTTTACACATGACAGATGAAGATTTTAAAGCTATGGGAATACCAATGGTAAGTATCTTGCTTCATAAGAATTGATCTGGAGTCTTGACCCTTCAGGTTTTTATCTTCTTTTTTAATGCCCAATAAAAAGGCATCACAACAAAAAGGATAAGATTTTATCCTTTTTTTCCTTTCTCAAAAAACCAAAAAAAAAAGAAAAAAAAGAAAAACCAAAAAAGATATGATGTTGATCTTTGTTGTTAGCAGCAGGAGGAACTGTTATTAGTAGGATGATGAGTAGTGCAAATGTCTGGATTAGTAGGATGATGGATTACTCTAGACTTTGTTGTTGCGGAAAACATAGATTAGTTAAGATAACTAGATGAGAATAACCATCATATTTTCAGAGAAGACTTTTTAATACGGCGGTCATGAAAATCACATTAATTTGGAGAGAGTACAAGGCTTAGGCTAGATAATAATTCTGCGGCAGGGAATCAAAGCTTAGGAAATTACTCTCCTTTGTAAGACTTCTTTAGCCTCTTGTATTATTTCAGTCTAAGCAATGGCCATTTACTTCAAAAGTTCTCATGAGCCCTAACAATGTGGATTCGAGTGATAATTAGGTTTTTTTGGTAATTGATAATTATGGTTATATCTTCCTTTATTAAGTGCCAATTAAAGTAAATGTCCAATTCGTTGTTTTCAGGGTCCAAGGAAGAAGATACTTTTAGCATTGGAATCTAAAGTTTGAGAATTCGGGTTACATCTTCCTCTGCTAGCTAGCTTTGTACAAGTCTCTTAGACTTTTTTCCTTTTCCTTTTTGGGGTTTTATCACTCAATGTGGTTAACTAGCTCACTAACTGTAACTAATCTGAATATCGATTCGTGAGCTCAACCTTAATGGTATAAATTAGTTTGCTTAGCATGTAATTCGGGTGCCAAAGATGCCAAATTTTGTTTCTTTAAACCTCCCCCACCCACTCAAAAAAAGAAGAAGAAAAGAGATAACTATTTAATACTCTCAAATTGTTTTCCATGGTCATTTGCCTAGGTATCCTGATGGTAAATTGGGAATAGACGGCAACCGTAGATGCATCTATTCACCCCGCTCGCAAATCATATATGTTACGCAGTAAAAACATAATCTCGCTCGCGAATCACACGTGCGACGCGGTCAAACATAATTTTATCATTTAAACCATTATCCTTCCTTGATTATTTTTCAATAATAAAGACAATTCAACTTGAAGTCTTTAAATTCTTAGAATTTCCTCAACTTAATTCCTTTCATAATAATTAGCACATATAATCAAATAATAGTATCCACAAAGTATGGCTTAAACCTAAAATTATCCGGACATAACAAGAATAGTAGTTACGTATGGACTTTCGTCACTTCGTGCATATATAGACCCCACAATTAATCATATATTAATCAAGTTTACCTATGAGGAAATTTCTCTCTTACAAGGTTAGGAAAGAGACTTACCTCGTTTCGACCCTACTTCCAACTCAAGAATGCGCTCAAACCCATTGAAGCATTGTGCTTCTTGTCATCAATGAGTCGAGAAAATTTTTTGAGCTAATCTTTTAAGGGGCTTTTGCATCTATACCCGATTTTGGGATCACAATTGAACCTATACGTCATGGCCCAAATTTCATATGCCGTGATGACGCTCAACACCGTTGCTAGGCAAGACAATACTGATCATATAGTAAATCCTCACTCATGTAGTTAGTATATGATAACTTCCATTTTAGATTTAAGAAATTTAGTTTTTAAAACTAAAGCATGTTTAAGTGAAAGGAATAAATGCAAATCTCAATCATGAAGACAAGCCAAAATATGTGTGTGCCAAGTCCTGGTATCACACATGTGTGGCAATCTAGTAGAATATAAAAAACCATACTATCCTACTGTCTGGAAAAGAAATAGATAGGAACATAAAGACAAAATAGAGACTCCAGTTGCTACAGATCGGCTGGGAAGGGCAGCTCACCAGAAAGTCTCGACCTGAGATTAGGGCTGCTTATCGGGCGAATTGGGCGGTTATTTACTCTTAACGATTTAGCTATAGGTTATCGGCTTTTAATTGTATTAATCCGCTAGCTACCCGATAAGATATCAGGCGGATTGGTATCAGATTAGCTCTTATAAGGCGATTTATCGACCTAATTTCTTACTTATCTGAGATTTTGCCTCGTGCTTACGCAGTATATATCATGCTTCTTGCAATTAATATTTCATCACAGAAAAAAGAATGTTAATGGTACTCAGCAGTTCTTAACATTGATGTTTCTTGTCAAAATCTCAGATGGGTAAGACATTTTTTCTCGTATATGAGCCTTTTGAGGTTTGGACGGATTAGTAGGAAAATTATGATAAGACCTAGAAATTCTTCTTACACTGTTGATTTTACGATTGCAGAAGGAAGAAGAATCGGCCTAGAATAATAAAGCTAATAGACATCTTAATATTAGAGTAACTTATGCTAAAGACAATAGTGAGAGTTTTCAACATTAGAAATTAATCTAATCAGCTAAAAGCTTGCATGCAACACAAGTTTCTTATAAAGATTTTAGAAAATAAATAGTGTTCAATAGGTGAAAATAGAGCGCTCAACTAATTGAAACTTGAGACATTCATATGCTCAGAGTGAACAAAATATTTAAACTGCTGGAGCAGAAATGTAAAGGAAGGCTTACTAGTCCCAGAAACTTCATCAGATTTTTTCACGAAAGACAACTTAGTTACTGAGGGAACGAAAAGCCCCGAGTGGAGAAACAGAAGATAGAGAGAGAATGATGATCATCGAAGGAGGAAGGACAAATTTGCACTACCGGAGAAGCAGAAGGTACTAAAATAAAACAATTGTTGGTAAGTTAAGCGAAACCTATGGTCAATGGTAACGCTTTGCCGATTATGATACTGGTGGCGTTTGGATTGGATATGGAACATAAAGTTATGATCATCGGTGGCGTTTGGATTGGATCATATATATATTATCCGTTAAAAAAATTGAATAATCCCCTCCCCCCTAAACCGATAAGCCGTTAATGAAAAAATTTCAATCCGTTCCCCGTCCATTAAACCATTAACCCGATACTAATAAGCCATTAAGCTTTAGTTTCGGTTTGGTTTTCGGTTTCATTTCAGTTTTGAACACCCCTAGCCGAGATGTTCACTCTATGCGCTAGACTGATGGCCAGATACACTTGCCTCAAAGCCTGTACAATAAGTACAAAAACGTAGCATGAGTACATAAAAATATGTACCCAGTAAGTATCTCGTCTAACCTTGCAAAAGTAGTAATGAGGGGTTGACTTCGACACTTGCTAGGCCAGCAAATATAATAATATGAAGTTCAACATATTTAATTCACAAAATATATAGATAACAACAAGCTCAAACAAGAATAATTATTGAAAATCCTTTCTTCCAATTAACAAAACTAAGCACTTTTCTCATTTAAAATAGCGACCTTTCCAGCAATAAGTCATACATATTATAAGGGTTACGCTTCCATTATCACATACAAATACCATCGAGGACGATCGACTCGATTCAATATAAAAGTAAAATGTGCACTATCGAAGGTCAAAAGGTACGAACCATAAATGCATCTATTCACCCCGCTCGCAAATCATAAATGCAAAGTGGTAAAAGCATAACCCGCTCGCTAATCATACGTGCGACGCGGTAAACATAATTTTTCATCATTAAACACAACAAGTCTTTAATTCCCTTTTTAACAAATTGGATACAATTCACTTGAAGCCCGTAAATCTTTAGATTTCCTTCAACTTACTTCCTTTCATACCGTTAGCATATATAAGCAATTAATAGTGACTGTCACACCTCCCTTTTTACACACCCGAGAGTATATAAGAGAGTTTTTCCAATTTAAGTGACATTATTCGAAATAGAATTATTTATTTATTTTCAGAGTCGTCACTTGGAATAAATTAAGGTGTCCCAAGTCACCGATGTATTTTAAATCCCAAATCGAGGAAGATTTCGACTTTCCTTTTGAAGTCTGCAAACCAGAAATTCTGAATAAGGAACTCTGTTAACCCGAGGAAAGGTGTTAGGCACCCCCATATTCCATGGTTCTAGCATGGTCGCTTAGTGATTATTACTTGGCTTAATTGTCTAACTACTCATTTTTAAGAACTATGTGCAATTATCTTTTTAACCGCTTTTAATTACTTAATTTATTCGTAATTAAAGAATTGAGTTACGCGTACGTATACTCTTTTCTTTTGGTGCATCAAAATTATGTCACGCGAACGTGTCCACAATTAATAACGCTTTGTTTATTTTATTAAGGAGAGTTTGGTTGAAGTTGCGTGAATGCATCCCTCGAGTCATTTTTAGAATTAAATTTGGAATCATGTTAAACAAACGTATACATAATCACAATATTAGTCTAAATCGAGCCTAAAGCAAACTACGAGTATTTGATTAAGGCGAAATTTTGAAGTGCATCTAAAGGTATGATTAAATCATTAAACTATTCTACATCATGTATCTAGGTGTATAGGTACAATACTACATGAGATACTTATTTGAAGTAAGTGTGGCAAATTTATTAAATGATAAATAGGCCCAGATTTTTGAGTTTGGGGCCTGAAAAATGTTGAGTCCAAATGAAGTCTAACCCAAGACATATATTGTCTATTTATTCAAACAGCTAAATTAATTCTAAAAGAGCTTGGGCCTGACTTAATTCAGATGAATCTGGCCCCAAATAAATTATTAAGTAATTAATCAATTTGAACATGATGGATTCAAGAAAATTTGGGCCTCCTAAGTAACTCTGGCCCAATATCCCTTTGTGGACACATAAATAAATTTAATAATGAGTCCAAGTGAACTCTAGCCCAACACATATTTGAAATTACTAATCCTAATGACAAAATTTGAGATTTTAACTATATTTTTTGTTGGTCTTCTGAGATAGAAAAGTAAAACAAAGTTCTCAATAAATAAAATCTGTTAAATTTTAGACAATTTTCCTACTAATTTGGCTAAGTCTTTATTTTCGAAATGCTGATTTTGAAATTTATTTGTATTTCCAAAAATCTTGAAGTGTAAATGCTATTGATCGACTCATTTTGTTTTATGTATAAAATCAGAACACAAATTCATCAACCCAATTGACCTTGAGCCTGAAAATGTATTATGGTTATCACTTAGTTATTTTGTAAAAAAAAATAAATTGATTTTTTATAACTTTGAACTAATAATAATTCAGCATTATTTAACTATTAAAAAACAGTGTGTCAAATTGCTTATCTATTAAACTGGTTTAACACACAAGGAAATGCAGTAAAATTATTACATTTTTTGCTAACTGAATAACCAAACTGCCTTTGCTATTTTAACAAAATTTCTGAAAAAATGACTTATGTGATACTACTACATATGAACATACAAATTTTGTAAATGTATAAATATTTAAGCAGATTCTGTAATTGCCAGAACACTTTGAAACTAATACATTTGTAAACAAAATTAACAACATAACAAACGAACAAGCTTCAAACTAACATGGTTCATGCAATATTTAAACTAATTGCAAATTTGGCAATCAATTTCCATCATGATTCAGCAAAAGAATGAAACTTTACACTTTTGTTAAGAAAGGTACCTTGACTGCAGCAAGAAAATAAATAGACCTCTGAAAAAAATTGAGTGAGAAATAGCAGCAAACCCAAGCAGAAAATAAAAAACCAGCTTCTAGTACCCCAGAAATCCAGACGATAGTAAGAAAAACCAGTAGGAATTCTTTATTAACAGTAAAAGAAAGAGGCTCCAAAGTAGTGCAGAATCAGTGTATTTTCTAGGTCCAAAATATTTTTTTTACCCCTGGTATAATGAAAAGAAGGAGTGTATTTATAGAATGAAGAGGTGAAAATAGAATTCA